GGGGGGGGACATGGGACCGGGAGGTGGGGAACGGGGGAAGGACTGCAGGAAGGGCCCGCTCCGCACGGGACATCCAGGAAAACAATGTGGTCTGCAGAAGCAGGAAACGGGCTAGAGGCGAGGGTCTAAACCGGGAAACCCCGGGGATGGAAGACGGAAAGCAGCGGTCGCCTCCCCCAAGCCAGGGACGAGGGTGCTTCTAAATGGCATCCCCAATATTTTTTGTCCCGCAAGCCCAAGGATCACAAATACCGCACCCAATCCCAGTCGGGTGGGAGGCATCAGTGAGAGTTGCTCTAGGAGGCGCGGGAGACGGCGACGGGGAGGCTGAGGTTAGGGCTCCAGTGCTGCGGAGGGCCCCTGCCTCCTTAGGCCGCCCTGTCCCCTCCGGCGCACGGGCGGCTCCAGGCAGTGTCGCCTACTCCCGGCGGCTGGAGGAAGGGCCGCGCGCAGGAAGAGCGAGCAGAGGCCGCGCGGTGCGGGCGGGCAGGAAGCGGGAGGCGGGCGTGAGGTGGGGTCCTGAGGCGGGAGAGAGCCCGGGCCAGCCCGAGCGGCCCAAGCTTGTATGACCAGAGAGGGCGCCGAGAAGACGGGTTTGGGGGGCAAAGCAATGGGAGAAACCGCGGTGGGCTGCGACATGAAGTGCAGGATGTTGGCAACTTTGGGGATCCGCATGAGGTTGGGATATCGGAATGGGTGGAGAGCCCTGGGAGACAGACCGCAGGGCTAGACTTAAAAAGAGCCCCCGCAAGCCGTGAGGGACACCCCCATCTTTCCGGGTCCTGGGCTGCCAGCCAAGGCCGGGAGAGCAGGGACGAGGCCAGCGGACCGTTACGGCGAGGCCCCGAAGTGGACCCTGCCAGCCGTGTGCAAAGGGGCTGCTGGAGGGCGGTGTCGCCGCGTGAGGACAGTCCTCGGCAATGCAGGGATGGGCGGGGAGATGAGCAGTCCCGGGAAGTATTATGGACTGCACTGGGGGATTTCGAGGGTCGCGGGCCGAGAAGGGCGCTGTGAGGACCGTGGGCGGCGGCACCGCTAAGGCGGCGCCGAGAGCAGCAGCAGCAGCATCCGCGCCCCGTCCACCCGCTCAGTCCGGGTTTGTTCAGTCAGTGCAGCGGCCAGGCTACGGAGAGGGAAGGGGGAAGGAGCCTTTACCTGGCTCTGCCGCGACGGGTCTCAGGCCCCGGGTTCCGCTTCCCACTTAGCGCTCTCCTCCCCGCCACCCTCTTCTACGCAGTTCGGCCCCCCAGTTCCCTAAGGAGACTCCGCCAACTCCGCAAGACCCCGCCGGGAAGCAGAGCCCACCCCCTTGCCAATCACCACCCGCTTTCTATCGACCGATGGGGCCTCTAGCCAATAGGAATAAGTGATCCCTAGAAGCCCGGAGTAGGGGCGGGGCTGACGAAACTTAGAGGCGTGGCAAGCGCTAGCTACCCCGGCGCAGTCCCAGAGTGAGCTCCTCCCCGGCCTGTGGAACCCTAAAGTAGAACTGATGGGCGGGATTAAATGGAACCGACAACCAAACACAAACTCTCCAGAGAAGACAAGACCAATCGGACCGGGGAAAGGAGGGGGGACGTTTAGCCAATAAGCAGTAGAGGACCGTAGAGAATCTACCAATAAGAATCTCGGGGCGTGTCTTCCAAGTTCACAGGGAAGGAGGGTGAACCCAAGCAGATGCTAGCCAATGAACTTAGAGGCCGAGCCAAGCTGGACCAATCAGAGAGCCGGTCTGACCTCGGCACCGTTACTGGGGCGAGGCCTCTGCGCTCACGTCAGGAGAAGGCTCCGGGCCTTCCAATGTGGGGCTTGGGGGAAGTCTCGTCCTCCCAATCCGTGCTCGGCGCAGGCAATTCAAACTGACAGCGTGTTAGAAAAAGCAGAGAAAGCGGAAGAAAGAGCAGAGCCCGGCGTGTTCGGTGACTGACTCCAGCGCGGACTGAGCCTCGGTGGCGGCCTCTTCCCCCATCGCATCCGACGCCCCTGTCCTCTCCGGAGCGGCCGCTGTGGGAGAGACCTTCAGGGTGGCAAGTGTTCGAGCTGAGGGAGCGAGGACGCCGAGAGCCGTGGGAGCAAGGAAGGGGGCCCGTGGCCGAGCCAGGAGAAGGGACGTGGGACAGGGCTGTAGCGGCGTGGAAGGAAAGGGCTGAGGGGCCTGGAACCCTGCGAAGAGGCCTTGGAGCGCTCTGCGGGCGGGGCTCGCGGTGGGAGTGGTCCGCGAGGCGAGGCTTTAAAGGGAAGCTCCCGCCCGCCGGGAACCGGGAATCGCTGGATTCGGGGGCGGGAGCCGAAGAGCAGAGGACTCTTGGAGACCACAGAAAGTGAAAGCCGGTTTAAAGTTTCTTTTCCACTCTACTTGTCTCTCCCACACCTCCAATTCCATTCCCTTTCCCTCCCCGCCCCCCAAGTCAAAAGGAACTAAAACTTGCTCTTCGCACCCAATAAATACTAATTTTACTTTTCCATCAGGAAAACAGAGCTGCCTTCCTGATTTTAGAGCTTTAGAGAACTCAAACCTCCCTCCCCCGACTTGGTTGTTAGCCTCGGGGAATCAAAGCTCGAACGGTTTCCCCCTTTTCCAAATTCTGTACCTTGTTCTACGTGGGACGCTATGTCTACCAACAGCTGCACTTTCAAGGACCGTTGCGTGTCCATCCTGTGTTGCAAATTCTGTAAACAGGTTCTCAGCTCTAGGGGGATGAAGGCTGTGTTGCTGGCCAACACTGACATAGACCTTTACTCTACAGACATCCCTCCTACCGAGTAAGTCCGGGAGGGCAGCCCTGTAGCTAACTGGGCAGTAGATGGCATGGATCCCTGGGAGTCAAGGTTATCATTTGGTGTTCCAGCCACTCAACAGTGTGATGATTCCCTTGGAGTTTATCTAAGTGGGCAGACTGTCTGGACGAAGTCTGTGGTTTACCCACAGTGGTCAGTACTGAGGTCATGTTTCCAGGCACTTAAGTCACGTGACCGTACATCCCTTAAGATGGCTCTGAGGCTCAGTGCCTTATCCAAACACCGTTCTCACGGAAGCAAGTCTTTAACAGTCATTTGGAAAGAAGTGGGTAATCATTCATTTAAAGTGAAATTTATGATTAATAATGATAGTAAATTTGAACATTTTAAAATATAGGCAAGTAAAGTTATATATAGCCTGTTTACCCCTTGAAATCTTGTATGCATTGGCTTATATGTAGTCATTTATTACAGAGATAAATGGGATAATATTTTAAGTTTGTGTATGTGCACTTGGTATGGTGCCAAAAAAAGCACTAGATGATAAAATCGTGGAACCTAATGTTCCAAAGATTCTATAATCCATGTGTTGTTTTAGTTAGATATGCTCACACACAAATTTGAAATATTCTTCCATCTTTATAATAGCTGTGGTCATAAGGACACCTTCGGTGAGATGTTACGTGTTAGGGTCTTTTAATTGCTATTTTCTCTTTGCTGGAGTTACAATGGATTCATGTGCTAAGCTGTGTGTGGATCAGTGAATGCATTGTTCCTTAAGATTTATCTTACTTTTTTTCATTATCTTAAGCATGTGTATGTTTGAGGAGGGGTGGATTCATGCACAGGTGCCCTCCAAGACTGAAGGTGTAAGATCCCCTGGAGAGGGCAGTTGTAAGTTGCATGATGTGGGTCCTGGGAACTGAACCCCAGTTCTCTGCAGGAGCAGTACATTCTCTTAAACACTGAGCCATCCCTCCAGCTTCCGCAGAGTGATTTTCAGTAGAAAACCTGCCAGCTGTGTATAGTGAGCACAAATACTACCCAACTGTTCTAAAACTGTACTATACTTACATTTTAGAGGCTAGTTCAGCTCTGGATTTATGAAATTTGTAACAACCACAATTAAAAGAGCCTTTGATGGTGGGAAATCAGGGCCCTTACATACTGCAGGAATGTGAAATGATAAAACCACTATAAAAAATAATTTGGTGGTTCTTTAGCTATTAACACAGAATCACAGAATTACCATATAATATAGTGATTCCAGTTATAGGTATATATCCAAAGACTTCAGAGCAGCATCTTATATTCACAACTGATAACTATGAGATAGCTAAGAGATAGACACAGTCTAAATCTCCATTGACTCATCTATTAAGTGGATACCTAGAGGGTTGCCTTAAAGGAAAGAAATCCTGTCAAATGCTGCAATGAAGATGAGCCTTGAGTACGTTATGCTAAGCGAAATAAACCAGTACCAAACAATAAACACTGTGACTGCTTATATGTCATATCTGAAGGAGAACATTGATAGCTAAGGGGTGGGTGGAGGGGAAATGGAGAGTTGATATATAATAAGTATAGTTTCTATTTTGCAAAATGAAGATGGTCTGAAGTGTCCCAAGACAATGTGGCCATATTCAGTTTTAAACTGTACATTTTAAAAAGTGAGATGGAATTCTGGGAATATAGCTCAATGGTTGGGCAATGTGAAAGTGCTTGCCTAGCATTTGTAAGGTCCTGAGTTCCATCCCAAGTGACGCACACACAATTTTTTAGAGGGAACATGTGGCAAATTTTTATATATTTTCAGAGTTCAAATCTCTGTATATTTGACTGCAAACTTTGTTCTCCTCCAGCACCGTGGATTTCATTGGAAGATGCTATTTCACTGGAATCTGCAGCTGTAAACTGAAGGACATCGCATGTCTAAAATGGTAATTTGTGGCGTTGTTTTAGACAGTCTGAGTTTTGAAGGTAGATATTGACACCAAAACCCCCAGAAAAGTTCTGTGGGCTGCACTGAGTGTTGATATAACCCAGACAGTAAGCCACTGGAAGAACATTTGTCCCTTAGAGCTATTTTTAATTACATTTATTCATTTACCTATTTATTTATGTGCATGGGTATGTGTATATAGCATATGTGTGCCCTGGCACGTGTGGAGGTCAGAGGACAATTTGTGAGAATTGGTTCTCTCCTTCTATCATTGGAGACCCAGGGATTGAACTCGAACTCAAGACCTCAGGCTTGGAAGCAAGTGCTTTTACCCACTGAGCCGTCTTGCCAGTCCCAGAATTATTGTTTTAAAAGAATTTTAGTTATACTTTTGAAATAAGATTTGTAGTTTTTCAAAGTGCATTCACAAATATCTGCTCCCAATAAACCTGTGTAATCTAAGAGGTAACAATGGGATTTACATTCATAAAAATCAGGGAGCAGAGAAGGTGGCTCCACCGGTCAAGGGCTTACAGCAGACATAGGAGGCTATGAACTTGAGCTGGATGGGGTAGCATGCACTGCAGCTCCCAGCTGGAGACAGGAAGACCTGTGGGGTTCCCTCACCCGCCAGCCTAGCCTAGCCTGACAAGCCTCAGATTTCTGTACTCGGGGTACAAAGCTATCATTAGAGTTTTCACCATCAAGGTATAAACAGCTTGTGGTGCCATTTTTTAAAAAAAGAAACAAAAAGCCAGGCACTGGTGGCATACACCTTTAATTCCAGCACTTGAGAGGCAGAGGCAGTAGGATCTCTGTGAGTTCAAGGCCAGCCTGGTCTACAGAGCGAGTTCTAGGATAGCCAAAGCTACACAAAGAAACCCTGGCTCGAACCCCCTCCCCCTCCCAAAAAAGAAGGAACAAAACGATCCCTGTGTGTTTACTGTAGTTAACATGAGACTCATGAAAAGAAAATGGGAGAATAAGGAACTTGGTGATCTGCTGAAGACAATCAAACCATTTTCAACTCTCTGGGGGCTGGAGATTTGCTTCGTTTCTGAATTCCTCTAAAATCACTGCAACTAAATGGGAGTTACTGTCTTATGTTAGAGGACCCCCTCCCTCACCCACCTCCCGCTTTGTTGAACAATTTTTTAAGAGCTTGTACCTATAAAACCTCATCTTATTATAGTCCTGAAGCTAGCAAAATCCTTCACCCATAGATCTCAGTTTATTTAATAT